TACCCTTACAAGTGTGTACGTTTTAAACTACCTATAGAAGTTGTGCATACCAAATGGGGACAGAATTAGGTCAGGACTTTGTTAACCAAAGTATGTGTGTGTTTAACCCAGATCAATGAATGCTAGGGCGAGCGTTGGGAAATCTAGGGAATGCAGGTACTGACAGTAAATATTGGTGTCTGTGTGCAGAGGGAGGGGGAGAGAGAGAGTGATATATGTGTTAGAACACTATCTATCTCCACTGTATATCTGACTTGCCTTCTCTTGCACTAAACAGACAGATGAATATAGGAGACTTATGTCTCTTGGTCTGGAGAGGCAATCTGAGGAATGAAACAGGAGAGCAGGGGGGAGTCAGCAGATGGGGGTTGATGACTGATGCTTGTTCTGTCTTTCCTGTCAAGATGTTACCCTCTTGGTGATGACTAATTTTGAGTTATTTTCTTGACAGGATGTATCTTTTGTGAGGAGCTGGCAGAAGTTTCACAGTCCAACCAACACCCATCAACCAATCAAACAACCCTAAACTAACTGTACCCACCAGCTAACACCTGTGAAGGTTCCTGACATCTCCAACATGTGGGAGATGGTACCTCAAACAGCCTACCAGTGCTAGAGCTTAGGGTAGCTCAAAAACAATGTGTATTCTACTCGGTGATAGAGACTTGCTAAGTACCAGTGCAGTATTGTGTCCTCTATGGTGAGGTACTCTCTGACTATTTGATCCCGTGGAGCAGAATTCCCAGAGTCAAAGACAGTCGAATCATCCGGAGCTGAAGGAGGCATCATAGACAGAAAGGATAGAAGCTAAGTCTGATGCTTCATGTGCTGTTTTTTTTCCTCACAGCTCATTTGTTTCCAATGATGACATATAGTCACCTCCAGGACCGGCTGTCTGTATAGTTTCCTTGGGATCTAGACATTAGTTGCTGAGATTCTTTCACTAATAGCTGGAATTCACTTCAATATTATATGTACATATATTATACTAATTACATGCAATCACTTTCATGGCTGACTTAGGTTTCTCTATTTCACCTTTTTAAGTGTTTAGCAGTTGTATGTGTATGTATCTTCATTATATGTGTTAACATGGTTATGATAATGACTTATCATAACCTGGGGGCTTTCTTTAGTAAGTAGTGGGGGTGTCCAGCCAAGTGTGCCTAGAAATATTGTATTCATATACTGATATATTTTGTAGTGCCAATACTTGAGTTGCCCTACTCTAGAGATAAGTTGAGCGTATATTGGCCACGGGGAATCCCTTAGACCAATACGAGCCAAACGACTCAACATAATTATCTCTGAGTGCTGTTGGTTCTGAAGGAGAAATCCTTACATTAGGCACGCGACAGGAGTGATATGTGACAATGATGATAAAATTTATTATAAAATCAATTAACTTCCACTCAATTTGTAATAAAAGTATCAAATTCTCCATTAAAAAGTACAAACTTTTCAGATAATTTGTCACACAATCAGCTAATTATTTATTATGCACACATTTGCATAACTAATAAGAATACAAACTATTCACACCAAATCCAATTTTTTTTTTTAAATGTAGCACTCAAACTATTTATGTAAAAATGCATTTCTCATAATTCAGCAACATAATGACTGCAGAAAAACCTGAACAGTTGACAACTATACAGATATATAGAAATTTTAGCCTTGTTTCAGTTTTAACATATGCCAGCAGAAGGTGAGGAACCACTAAAGATATGGAGCTGTTTGTTTGTTTGTTTTAGTATCCAGAAGCCATGAGTTGTTAACCCTTAGGCTCGGTATTATGAATATCGCAACCTTTCGGCCTTGATTCCATTGTAAATACCGTAAATCTGGGAGAAATGTGGCTTTCCTGCCTACCCCCGGGATTGAACCCGGACCACAAGGAGTTCGCCACCGGGTCTCCGCACAATCCGGTTTAGCCAACTACGCTAGAGAGCCGGGCAAAGATATGGAGCAAATGTTAAATGCAATTTAAAAAACAAATACCTGCGAAAACGGATGAACATTAAATGAGATGGATTCAGGACGGGTGAAGAAATGTGTAGATAACTGTTGGTAGCAACAGGTGTGATCAGGGATCTGGCTGACACTTAACGGAAAGGTAAGACATAGAATCAGGCTGTTACTGATGCCATCAGAACTGGAGCTTTAAGTCTGCTGGTGAAGATGTGGATGTAGCGTTTATGGGAATGTCCGCAGTGTTGTGATGTTGATTCTTAATTCAACATTAAGTTATGGGACAGAGAAGCGGGAGAATGATCAAACAGCCAATCAAATGGGGAAACAGATTGAAGAAACGAGTCCGAAGGTGTTGGAGATGATTCCATCTATGACAATGGTTTTCAACCCTTTTCAGGCGGCGCCCCCTCAAATATATGGGCAAGACCACAACAACAACAAATAATCATCGGCACCCGGATCGCCCAAGTGGCTTACCGGTCAGGACAGTATTTGGGGTCTGTTCTCCTTTGATCGCACCAACACTGCGGGAGTCCTTTTCAGCGCTCTCGGTGGCATGCAAGTCTAAGCCATTTTATATGGCTCACATAACTTAGTCACAATTATAACCTAAAGCTCCCCATTTTGGGATGCTGGTTGAATGTAACAATTTATTAGAAACTTTTTTCAAGCAAAGCACCTACCTACCTCCTTTAAAAATGATAAAAAGAGAAGGATAACAAGAATATATCAAGCAATATATCAAGCAATATTTACAAGAACTGTGATATACTATTATTTAGATTTTTAATGGTAGATGTACCAACCGCTCAAAAAAAAAAAAAAAATAATGTCCTTGGCATTTCATAGTTTTCAAAAAATATAACAACTAGGAACATTTTGTAGTGTAACAAATTATTACAAGTTCAACTGCAATTTAAAATTGCGCCCCCCCCCCCGAACTTCCTTGCGGCCTCAGATTGAAAACAACTGCTCTATGATATTTTTTAAAAAAAACGGAATGGAAGAATAGGCTGCAAGCCCTATGTAATGCATAAGAGCAGAACGGAATAGTGATATCAAATGAGTAATTACAGATGAGCGGATCTCAAAGTTGACATCTGCTACATAATAAACATATGTGCAAGGGGGATATGAATGATATAGTTATAATCATGGGAACAAGATGCTACAGATCATGTTGCGTAGATGAAAATCAGCAGGGAAAGGACAAAGGAGAACTTTTACTGTAGACAGTTTAACCTTTCACTCTGTAAATATTAAGCAACTGGCCATAAACCTGTGGAAATATTCAGGGGGGAAATCCTAGAAAACCTATTTTACATGGGTAATAAATTGTTTTAAAATGAACTTATTTAAATTTTTAAAAATTGCTGTTTCAAAATTTATAAAGATATATAAAAGGAGTAAGTAATCAACAAAAATAGGGTGAAGAATGAAATGGAATGCTTTCCCTAAGGACCTAAAACAAATATGTATTGGGTGACCTCTATCAGTGAGGCTTGCGGGAACATTTTAAGCCTACTTAGCTTTAAAAAAGCTACCAGATTTACAAGGAACCCCTCTAAATGCTATATGTAGTTAGTTAACATATTCACATCCGGGCCTTCACAACACTGTGCAGGTGTATATAGAACCAATGACATTTAACTATGCGGTTCAAGAACATATCACTGCAGAAATAGTGAAATACTGGCATTGGCGAGGATGGGGCTTAACTAGAAGTGACTAGATTTAGCCTTATCGAGGCAACAGGGTTCAGTGCTGTATATTAAGAGCTGTAAGAAACACAAGATGTGATGGTAAATAAACACCTGAAGTACGAGGCACTTGTTCTGAGGGACTTAATTAACACAAGCTTGCCTTATCAGTTAGACTAGTACACTGTCATGGTCTACCATCTCCCTGCCTCTCTACAACAACACAATATAATTAATACTGCCTGTGGACTAGGCACTGTGACCGTGCTTCATAATTCTGAGGTACCCTGTTTTGATTTTAGCTGCAGGAAATTTGGCAGCAGACGCCTTGTGTTAATTTCAACAGAGGTATCGAGAGTCGACAGTCCAGTAAAGCAATGGCAAACTAAATGTAAAATTGGTCAGTAGCGACCAAAACAACTAACAAATGCAGCTGTTGGTTCTGCAACATTCTGTAAACGATATACAACAAACCATTTAATACTTTCATCTGGAAAGTTGTCAACAATATAAATATATGTAACACACATATGTAATCTGCATGAAATCTTTTAAAGTTCCCATTAAGTACATTTTAAATTTTACTGAAACCTCGATGGCCTTTCCTGTTTCCTGCTTTATAACTTTTTTAATCATTGAAAAAAAAAAAAAACATCAATCAATCAGGCGCCGTCTCCACAATGAAGGTTAACCACAATGGAGTCCCAATATGCTCTGTCTTTCGCCCTGGATGTTCATACTTTCAGACTGCTGTTTTTCACTCCTATTCTGTTCTGAAAATTCATTTGACTGTTTGTGTTTCCATGAAATATGACCTATTCTTCTGTATATCCACATCTCCTGAGACTCGATCTGATTTTGTATTTGCTTAGAATGAACCATTGTGTGTTCTTATTGTTCAAATAAGGATGTCATCTCACTGAGCCCCCCACAGCGGCTAGTAGTTTACTAAGAGAAAAGCCATGAATAACTTGAGTTATAAATTAACCAAAGTGTTATCTCAGTTTTTAAGATAAGAAGAGTTTTTTTTCTTTCTTTCTGGAATCCTTTTTCATCACTTCTGTAACTGACACTTTGTGGTTAGTAGCCGCACTTTTTTTTAAAAAGACATTTTATGGTGGGTGCCAACAGCTTTTATTCTAGGAAAAAAGCTTGTTACAAGAAATTCATATATTATGTTTTCAAACAATAACAAGTTTATTATTTCAAAACTTGATCAGATCACCACTGAAAAAAAACCCAGTGGATTTTGATAATATCACAGTGGAATAAACGAGTGGATATGCAGAAACGAGAAATCTGGAAGCACTAAAGATGACGTGGTTTTTATGTTGTTGGAGGCGGCTGTTTTTCTCTCTCTGTTCCCAGGACATCTGTTTCAATTTCCTCAAGGTTAAGATTCTTTTCCCTGATGGCTTTCTGAAATGAAATGTACTGAAGCGTCAATATATATATATATATATATAAAGTAAAGATCCCTTTTACGCCTTAGGCGCATCAGGCATATGGAAAGAGAGTCTCATAGTTTTACAGAACAATCGGCCCTGGGTAGTTAATGTGGTCAGCATTATGCCACCATCTTTACTTCCCTAGGACAGCCATCCTGGTACCTATTTTAGGCTCGGCCGCCTTGCGACGCCCCCATACCATGATAAAAATCCACCAGCCAGCAGTGGGTTTCGAGGGGAGTATGTTGGAATTACGAACCGGACTCGCCGCCATATATAAATATAAAATAACATGAATTCGATTTATTAAAGTATTAAATAACAGATCTTCTGTATGGTACACGAGAAGACATGGACTGCACAACAGCTTTGGCGTTCATAAAGGCTACCGGCCTCCTGATGTACGTTTTCTGAGAGAAGGATCAAAGAAGAAGAAGAATGTTGTTTAAACAATTTGAATAATAACTCACCACAAATTGTCTAAAACAAAAGTGCTGCTTCTCATCACAGAGTGTCCATTCATTATAGTTAGTAGCTATGAAAAAATACGCCCCCACAAAATGAACCGTTGCATATCACCGGGAGAAGTCGCTGTCGCTAGACGCTCGCCTACGGATCGGAAGATTGTGGGTTCGCTCCTTGGCGAAGCCGGACTTTAAACAAAAATGACCTTGGCTCCCAGGTTGACCCAGCCTTGAGTGGGTACTGGGTGCAGTCCCAGGAAGAAAAAGCGGCCGGCGGGATGCTGACCACATCACCCATCTTGTGCCGATTGGTCTATAAAATATAGGTCTAGCCCTATACGCCTAAAGGCATGGAAAAGGGTCCTTTACTTATATCACTGGGGGGTGGGGGGGGGGGAACCATCATAATAACCGGCGCTTCTTTGATTTATTCCCCAAAATGGCGGCACGCCACATTCTGACCATAAAATATCCAAAAATTTCCGAACGACGGTGTTAGTGTATATCTAAAATACGGACTTTCTGCCAACGAACAAATCGCGGCAAAACTAGGATTACTTGACAACCAATATCAACATTTGCACACGGTACTAGTAGCAGACGATAATTACCGACTGTTGACAAAAATTTCGAGCGTTTCTGCAGTCGACGATACTAGCAGACGATATTAGCGACCGTTGACCAATTTCGAGACATTACAGACGATGAAAGCCGATTAGCAATACTGTATTCTTCCGATTGGAGCGGTAGATGTCAGACTTGTCGGCATGCGCCAAACGCGTCGCCGAGCGTATCTAGGTGCTTGGAACTCACGAGTACAGTAATTGGAGGAAGTTGCAGGAGATGCGGTAGCTGCCACTCGTGAGTCCCAGCCATCTAGTTTAGCCCCCATCCGCGCCGCGCGTAGCGGCGCGGGGGATACTCTCGGCGGTGAGGCACACTCGCAGAAGCAGGTCGGCAAGCAACGTATCGCCCAGACCCTGTCAGAGCATTTGTTTCGTTATTCGGAGCCGGCACATATATTTTTAATAGAACTGACCCCGCATTCGGATATTTTTGGATATTTTATGGCCAGAAATTGGCCAATTTAGCTCCTTTTTGAACGCCATCATATTACAGCCGCCATTTTGGGGAACGATTCAAAGAAGCGCCTAATAACCAATAACCTAGTTTAAGGGTGTTGCAGAACCAAGCCCTGCTTTTTTTCTTCTTGCTGTCTGCGTGGCTATTTGTGATTTCATTAGGTAATTTTAACTTCGGTAGTAAGTTTGCCATAAATCAGATACGCAGGATAGGAAATGCCGAAGCATTGAAATCTGGGAGCGCTCACTCTCACTGACTAACTAATGAGTAAGTCAGTAACGATGTTGTCTCAGTCTTGAGGTCACTGGCTCTCTGCTTCAAATGTTTCTGGTCTGCTCTTGTTTCTCTTTTCTATGACACTGTGGGTTCCAGTGTAAAGACATTCTAGTTACATTATAATTTTTATACTGTTATAGTCTAGTATTTTCTGTATTCTTATTACTATTTTTAGTTACCTTGACGCAATCTTGGTAAACTTTGAACAAGGCTGTGCACGGGTCTTCAGTGACGCCTTTGAGGAACTTTTCCGAAAACCATTTATTAAAACATTCGTCGTAGGTACGCTTGAGCTCTCGGCAGTCGGTGCCAACACTGTCCATGCTGGCGGCCCGCTTAGAGAGATATTTCATCAGACTTCTAGCCTAGTCGGGGTAGTTGTCAGGCCATGAGGGAAACCATGGAACTGTTGTAGAAGAAGGTGAGATCAACAGTTCGTTCGCTCCTTGATGTTGCTGCTACATTGATTCTATGTAGGACTTTCCTGTTTTTTTTTTTTCAGACGAGTCAACAGCATCATCAAGTGCCTTTTAAAACGGAATAAACAAATGTACTTTTTTCTTCTTCTTTTTCTTCGTATTTTTCCACATTAAAAGGCCATTGGCGCGTTATATTGTGGTTTAAAGTTAGCCTGCTATCTGCGCCTTCGCCTTTCTGACCAAAATTTGTTCGTCTTCTTAAATTCCATGCAGTGTGGCGTTGGTAGCCATGTCTATCCACAACCTTCTGTCTCGTGTACTTTCAATCAGCTCTGCTACAGATGATCCTCCATGTCACGACTTCATACTGTCCACAATCTCTTCAATCGGTCTCCCCCTGCCTCTCCCTTCCTTCAACTTTTCTACTGTCACAATGTACTCCAGTTTTATCCTTCTCATTACATTACCAAAAAATGTAGATTGTCTCTTTCTGATGTGGGTAATCATTTCTCTTCGTGAGGCAGTTTCTTTCGTCGAGGTGGAGGCAGAGGCAGACGCCGCAATTTTCTACTACTTTATGAACCAGCTGCACACATGTGTCTTGATTGCATAAGACTTACGAAGCATGATAAGAACGCTGAAAACATCGCTTGTCTTTAGTGATCTCCAGTAATTTGTGTCTTTTAGATATTGGTTCTTTTCTGTTATTTCACCACATCACGCCGGCTTCGAGATTTAGTAGGAAGTTCCCTAGACCGACTCTTAGTTTGGGAGAAGGGGGAAGCTATAGGTTGTTCTGGGGATTTCCCTACGATATCTCGAAGCAGGTGGGATGTGGTGAAACAACAGAAAAGAACCTAGATCTTTTATCCAGCGGATACCTGTGTGATGAGAAACGAAAATGCTGACAAATTCGCTGGATCTGTGCGACTCTGGTAAACTGATGCTCAAGGCCTTATAGGATCGAGTGAACAATGCGAAAAGTGGGCAAATCGATCATCTTGAAGTTTGCAGACAGTTGAGTAGAGTTGAGTTGATTCAAAAACCGACATCACAGCACTCGGAGCATTCCCACAAGCGCCCTGTACTCATTTTCAGCAGCCAGTGAAGAGTTATGATATGAAGAGTTCCGATACTAATGGTGCCAGTAGCATTCTTATTAAACGTCCGTCTTGCCTTTCCTCTGAGCCTCGAGCATCTGCCAGCACCTCTCGTCACACCCCCCCCCCCCACCCCGCATCAGTCTCACCAGACTGTGGTGATCCATTGCTCCTCCGAACTGTACACGATCTCCCACAAGGCACTAACAACATCTGCCTTATCATGCATCAGTATTCCACCAAATTGTGCATAGCCAGCCAGTCCGTCCGCCTGTTCATTTCACAACACACTGGCGTATCCCAGTGAACAAATCCATACAATACTCCTCACCCGTGTCCTCCTCGGTAAAGCATGCCACTCTGTAAGATGCATGCCTGTCCTGACCTTCCTCAGCATACTTTCTGAGAGTCTGAAGATAGAGTTGCAGCAGGGAATGACCAGAGGATCTGGGCGACACTCAACATTCAGAAGAAGGACAGACTCCTACTGGTACCGTTTGAAGAACTCTCTGCTTCGCTGCTGGGGATGGAGGATGCTTATTGTAATGTCCTGCGTGCTGTGATCTCAGAGCTGCCATATACACATTGCATTGCCTATTTGGCTTATAGAATCGGTTTTAGCACATTTGATTGAAACGTTTTAAAAATCAAATGGAATAGTTATTTTATTGTTGTGAAAATTAAAGATGCACGAATAATGAAATTTTATAAAACTGATGTATTTAAAATTAAAAGCAACAACAGCTTATTTTAATATTTTGAGTAAAGTTGGAAAACGAAAAAATACCTGGCAGTAACGGTTACAAAGTGGAGTGAGTAAAAAGAAGGTGAAGAAAATGGAAAGTGGTCTATTCTAAACCACTGAAAACTTGTGCCTTTAGAGCTTCTTCTGAACCGATGTTTGCACTAGATCAGAGGACGATGTGTTCTGCATCAGTTGTATCTAGGATGGCAGTGAAAAGGACATATTTTAAAACAGAGCCTGAACAAATACCCCAGAGAGAAGGCGACAACGGACGGGAGTTAGCTTTCTCAAGACTTTTGGATGCTCTTCAGAAAACTTTCCAATTTGTAACAGGAACAGTACCAACAGATAACAACAAGGTAAGATTTCTTACTGTTATTGTTTTTGCAGGTGAATGATTTATAGGTTTATACTTTATATCATTGCTCAGTCAGTGAGGTGCCGTCTTCAGAATGAAAGTTGAGCAGTGGGTCGGCTAACCAAGCAGAATGTGCTCCTGTGGATCCTAGACCACTGAGAAACATTAAGGGAAATGAACCAACAGTTCATGCAAATGAGTCAGATCTGTGAAACGGAATTGCACGCAACACTTAAGTTTCTGGAAAAGGACTAGAATCCATAACTTTATGCTAGAGTTTAGAGAAGGTGTATGCGAAGAAGAAGAAAAATCCATTGGAACACTCCCATCCAGTACACAATTCTGAAGACCCAGTCAACCCTCTATTACACGAAAGAGACAGATCATTATATTCAGATTGTGTACTGGACACTCAGACTCTGTAACCATATGTACAAGAAATTCAAGACTGGGGATTCAATACTTTGCCCTAGTAGACAGACACCACAGAATACTGAACATGTACTATAGTCATGCACTCTGCATGCGATAGAGAGATCCTAGATTTAGCCATTTGGCAGAATGAATGTTGAATTAAGGAATCAACATCTTAGCACTCGGGACACCCCAAAAAGCGTTCTGTCCCCCATCTTCAGCAACAAGCGAGGAGTTAAAATTCTGATGGTACCAGTAACTGTCTGATTGTATATCTGTCTCGCCTTTCCCCAGAGTGTCGAGCGTTGGCCAGATCCCCTTGTTACTCCTCACAGTGCCATTCTTCTCAGACCGTAATGATCTGTTTGTGCCTTGGCACTGTTCACTCACTCCCAAAGGGCCCTCACAACAACCAGCTTGTCATACATCATCAGTTCACCACCAGTTAGTGCAGAACTGGCCAGTCTATTTGCCTGCTCATTTCCCAACACACCAGCATGACCTGGAGAAAATATCCAAAGGATGCTAACTACCCGGGACCTTTGAAGTGATGCTTGCCACTCTGCAAGGAGCATGCCTGTCTCCACCTTTCTCATCATGCTCTGTGAGTAGCCAGTTGGCATTCCAATGTAAATCCAGCTGTATAGAACAGTGGCATACATGCGTTGCACCACAGACTTTGTAATGGCTTGCTGGCCACATCACCCACTGAGTGCCGACTGATCTATAAAATAATGGACTAGCCCTGTATGCTGAATACACCGAAGACGTGGAAAAGGTTCTTTTACTTTTCTGTGTGTGGATACTGGTGGTTCCTTGCCCTTCAGGCAATACCACTCCAACTTAAAAGGGAATACCCATAATTAGTATACTTTCTTACAGCATGCTTGTAGGAGATTTGACAGCAGACCATCTTGCTTTGGTTTCGACAGCAGTACTAAGAGCTACCCGTTCAGAAAACAGTAGCAACCTACTGAACATATTTTTGCTTAGAAATACTGCAACAGCCAAAAAATGCTGGGGTTAGTTCTGCAACATCCTGTAAAGGTTAGGCAACTTTTTGTGTGTTTTGATTTTAGGGTTGGGGGCAGTAGGTCTATTCCCCCCCTCTGCCTCCTCCTACCATGGGGCCCCCTAGAACCTACACTGGGACATCGTTGTTCTCTAAAACTATATCTCTGCAGCTTCCATCTAACTTTCATGAATCGGCTGTCTGTCCATTATTCACTTCTGCCTTGCAGAAAAGAAAAATAACAGAGGACGACAGCAGACATAGTGTTGCAAAGAAACGCAAGACCGATTTTGAAGACTGTGTGAGCAAATCAAATCATGACAGAGATAATGTAAGTACTATTTGTGTGTGTCTGTTTAGTCAGCAGTTGAGGGGAGGAGCAGCTGGCCTAGCTGGGCTCTCACATGGGACATTCAGGCTTGAATCTTCGGTGTGGTGGTTGATTTTGTGTGTCTGGGAACAGAAGAGAGAATAAACAGTTAAATGCATGTGAAAGCAATTCTGGAGAGAACTGCAATATAAAATGGGATGAATTCAAGAGGGGTGTAGAAATAAAAAAAAAAGCTCTGATATCATCTATTATAAATCAGAACAGTTGGTCCTACGTTGGACACATTACGACCGGCTCCAGCTGATGGGCCTTGCTGCTGACATCACCGAGTCAGGCTAACAATGCGTTAACGCAGCGGTTCTTAAATTTGGTGCTGAGGCACCTGGGGATGCTGTGAGAGTATGCCAAGGGTGCCGCGGCAATACTCAAGAAAAGTTGGCTACAAATTGTGAAATTATTAAAGAAGGCATGTAGATACTTTACAGTTAAATTTTAAGTTGTCTTTCCTCGCCACTGTCGAAAATAGATTATTTCTTGTTTGAGAACCGCTGCGTTAATGCATTGTTAGCCCGACCTGGTGATGTCAGCAACATGGCCCATCAACTGGAGCCAGTCATGGACACATCCTGAGAAGAGAAACACATGGAATCACCAAACAGGCACTAACATGGGGAATGACTGGACTGAAGAAGCTGGGACATCCAGAAGAGAAACACATGGAATCACCAAACAGGCACTAACATGGGGAATGACTGGACAAGAAGCTGGGACATCCAGAAGAGAAACACATGGAATCACCAAACAGGCACTAACATGGGGAATGACTGGGCTGAAGAAGCTGGGACATCCAGAAGAGAAACACATGGAATCACCAAACAGGCACTAACATGGGGAATGACTGGGCTGAAGAAGCTGGGACATCCAGAAGAGAAACACATGGAATCACCAAACAGGCACTAACATGGGGAATGAATGGACTGAAGAAGCTGGGACATCCAGAAGAGAAACACATGGAATCACCAAACAGGCACTAACATGGGGAATGACTGGGCTGAAGAAGCTGGGACATCCAGAAGAAACCCTACAATGAATGTTGATGAGAGAGGTCATAGAGATGTTCAGTGTCTTAAAAAAAGTGCTGGTACAAAAATGTCTATTACATTTATGCTGAAAATAAAATAGTGTCCCAAAACAGGTGCCGGTACTGTGTACTGCCAAAAAAAAGCGCTGCTCATAACCAGTTGTAATTTATAGATGTGGGTATACAGAAAAATAGGATTTATTTCATGGAAACAAAAACAATCCAATAAAGAGGTCCTGGAAAGGCTACAAATGATGAAAAGAATTATGGAAATAAATGAAAAAGAGACAGTAGACACATTAAAAGACATTACACACATTTAAAAACCATACTGGAGTTAAAGGTCAAAGGCACGAGAGCAAGAAGTAGGCAACAAAACAAGTGGGAGGACAACATCAAGAGATGGACAAGCAGCCGTCTGACAGAGTGTACAACCAGGACAAGAGACAGAGCATGTTGGAGATCTACTGCAGCCAGCCTTCACTGTAGAGACGGCGTTTGATTGAATGAATTGTAACCAGCAAGCTTGATTTGTGTCCAAGAACAGTTAAGACCAGGAATAGTTCCTTTTCTACATAGCACATAGCCTGGGCAGTATTGTTCAGACCATGCCATGATCCCTCGCTCATCCTGCCTTAAACATTATAATGCTCCCTGTTGATAAAATGCTAATTTTCAGGACTGTTCCATTTGTTTGGCTCCGTGGTCAGCATGCGGGGATCACAGACTGACCAGTCTCAGATGTGGTCATCTGTTTGGGCACAGGTAACTTTGTGCTTGTTTCTATTGTCCTTCCTTTCAAGAAATCGAACAATGACGCTCTAGATATTGTCAAGCCCTGTTGGGAGAGAGAGAACTGTGTGGTGGAACAAACAGATAATCACCGTCTGTTTAAAGAGAGAGAACTGTGTGGTGGAACAAACAGATAATCACTGTCTGTTTGAAGAGAGAGAACTGTGTGGTGGAACAAACAGATAATCACTGTCTGTTTTAAGAGAGAGAACTGAGTGGTGGAACAATCAGATAATCACTGTCTGTTTGAAGAGAGAGAACTGTGTGGTGGAACAAACAGATAATGACTGTCTGTCTGAAGAGAATCCTGCAGGGGAGTGATGAGAGGATCTGGCCGATGCTCAGTACTTAGAGGCAAGGCTAGATGGACATACAGAATGCTACTGGTGCCATCTGAACTGGAACTCTGTGCTGGCTGTTGAAAATGAGTACTAATGGGAATGACCCAAGTGCTGTGTTGTCACTTCTGAACTCATCTAAGCTCAGCTTAAATCCTTTCTTTCAGGATCTCTTCATGAGAGCAAATCCTATTGTAAGTTCCGGGGCTCAGTTGTCGGGAAAACAAGAATAGACCCTCTGCCTCCCTAACAATCATGTCAACTAATGGGGGGTTCTTTGAAATTGGAGTGCCTGAGAGGCAAGACCTGATTGTAATTGTGTGGCTTCTGCCATAAGGATGTAGAGTGTAACTTGACTGTGTGATATGTGAACAAAGAAGACACAAACAATAGATTGCAACAGTTTAATGCCTGGTATAATTCACTGTATCTTGTCAGGTGCTCAATACAGTAACAGTGGATTTAAAGGAAGCAAATAAATGAATCCTTCAAGCTGAAACACAAAATTGACTACATTCAAAAACTGTCTGTTTCACCAGGGTAAATGCAAGTTGAAGAGCATGTCCTTGTGTCTGCATAATTCTAGACTTAACCGAAATGTACCAGGAAGTAAATTGTGATATCTTTTGTTTGTTTCTTCATTGTTCGAATTCACAATGGGAACACATTGCTTTGAATGTTAAATGTGTATTTTAGTGAAAATGATTCATTTTTGTGTTTCATAAAATGTCGATGCAACTTTATAGCACCTGATGAAATACAGCAAAATATATCAGGCAATATATTACATAATTTAATAATTATGTACACATTATATATCTATATACATGTGTGTGTGTGTGTATTCTGCAGCTGTATTGTCAGATGGATCGAGAATGCCCACAACTGTCCCTACTGTTGTGCTTATGCTGAAGTCACTGACCTGAGGAACATATTTGCACAGAAAGTTCAGGTGCCTGAAGAAAAACTTATACGTGTTACTTTTGCAGAATATTTGGTTTATGTTAAAAAAAATGTATGCTAGGGATGGGATTGTCTACAAAATGTTTATGTACTAATAATGTGTATCACCGATCATCTGCTGATTGTTTAGTTTGTTTAAATATTAGTAGCAGAGATAATCTACCGATTGTTTAGCTTATATACATATTAGTGCCATCGATTAGCTACAGATTGTTTAACTTATATAAATGTTAGCAATAAAGATCATCTACAGATTGTTTAGGTTATTTAAATACTAGAGTTCATCTACAGATTGTTTAGGTTATTTAAATACTAGAGTTCATCTACAGATTGTTTAGTTTATTTAAATACTAGAGTTCATCTACAGATTGTTTAGTTTATTTAAATACTAGAGTTCATCTACAGATTGTTTAGCCTATATAAATGTTAGTAATAAAGATCATTTACAGTTTGTTTAGTTTATTTAAATACTAGAGTTCATCTACAGTTTGTTTAGTTTATTTAAATACTAGAGTTCATCTACTGATTGTTTACTTTATATACATATCAGTACTAGAGATCACCTACATATTGTTTACGTTAAATGAATTTTAGAGATCTCTTCACATTATTTAATTTAAATAAATATTAGAGATCATCTGCATATTGTTCAGTTTATATAAATGTTAGAACAGCAGATAATCTACATATTGTTCAGTTTATATAAATGTTAGAACAGCAGATCATCTACAGATTGTTCAGTTTATATAAATGTTAGAACAGCAGAACATCTACAGATTGTTCAGTTTATATAAATGTTAGAACAGCAGAACATCTACAGATTGTTCAGTTTATATAAATGTTAGAACAGTAGAACATCTACAGATTGTTCAGTTTATATAAATGTTAGAACAGCAGATCATCTACAGATTGTTCAGTTTATATAAATGTTAGAACAGCAGAACATCTACAGATTGTTCAGTTTATATAAATGTTAGAACAGCAGAACATCTACAGATTGTTCAGTTTATATAAATGTTAGAACAGCAGATAATCTACATATTGTTCAGTTTATATAAATGTTAGAACAGCAGAACATCTACAGATTGTTCAGTGTATATAAATGTTAGAACAGCAGATAATCTACATATTGTTCAGTTTATATAAATGTTAGAACAGCAGATCATCTACAGATTGTTCAGTTTATATAAATGTTAGAACAGCAGATCATCTACAGATTGTTCAGTTTATAAAAATGTTAGAACAGCAGAACATCTACAGATTGTTCAGTTTATATAAATGTTAGAACAGCAGAACATCTACAGATTGTTCAGTTTATATAAATGTTAGAACAGCAGAACATCTACAGATTGTTCAGTTTATATAAATGTTAGAACAGCAGAACATCTACATATTGTTCAGTTTATATAAATGTTAGAACAGCAGAACATCTACAGATTGTTCAGTTTATATAAATGTTAGAACAGCAGATCATCTACAGATTGTTCAGTTTATATAAATGTTAGAACAGCAGAACATCTACAGATTGTTCAGTTTATATAAATGTTAGAACAGCAGAACATCTACAGATTGTTCAGTTTATATAAATGTTAGAACAGCAGAACATCTACATATTGTTCAGTTTATATAAATGTTAGAACAGCAGAACATCTACATATTGTTCAGTTTATATAAATGTTAGTACAACAGATCATCCACAGATTGTTTAATTTAAATAAATATTGGTACTAGATCATGCAGCTATTGGGACAGATCATGTGTCTACCTGTGTGTACCATAACATCTAGATTAGGGGCAAAAGATTCAGCGTAAAGTATACTGTAAGAAGCCAGGACTATGGGCAGTTGAAAACTGGGTAAGATGAATGGCTAGATAAGGCCAGAGGCTAAATAAGGCCAGAGGCTAAATAAGGCCAGAGGCTAAAAAAAGATTGAAGACTGTGTAAGGTGAACAGCTGGGTAAGTCAAAGGCGGGGTAAGATCAAATGTTAGGGGTCAGGAAAGCTGTGGAAATTGAAGATTAGTGTGGTAAACCTGGAAAAGAGGTGACACATGTTTACACAAATACATACACATTCTCTCTCTCTCTCTCTCTCTCTCTCTCTCTCTCTCTCTCTCTCTCTCTCTCTCTCTCTCTCTCTCTCTCTCTCTCTCTCTCTCTCTCTCTCTCTCTCACTCACACACACGCACATTGTCTCTAATGCCCTGTCTATCTTGAATCACTGAATAAAAGCCAGCTGCTGATTAAGCAATGAACACCACACCCACAGAAGAAGGCAAGTATTCCACCACTCAGCCACTGAACCACATTGAAACTGTATCTCCAACCTGCAGGCTGAGGATACCACTGACAGAGACTTGGCCCTAGAACTGTTGAAGAAGGAGAGGGCAGCCAGGAAAGAGTTGAAACGGCAGCTGAACAGACAGAAGGCAGACAATGAAAGCCTGAGACTTGAACTGGAACAGCTCAAGGGAGGCAGGTCTTCAGGCAGGACACGGTGAGCAGCACTTTCTTCACATCTGTTTGTGATTGATCACATAGTTCTGTTTTTCAGCTACTGAGTTGAATGCATGGCACGACACTGTGAGCTGTAAATTTCATTTTTGTTTTTTGACTGCAATATGGTTTGTACTGTGAATTGCATATAGAGCTAGACCTATTTTTAATAGACCAATCGGAACTTGGTGGGTGATGTGGTCAGCATTTCGCCGGCCGCCTTTACTTCCCAGGATTGCACCAGGTGCCCACTCGAAGCTGGGTCGACTAGAGAGCCAAAGTCAGTTATGAAAAAGTCCAGCTTTGTCAGGACTCGAACCCATGACCTTCCGGTCCTCAGGTGAGCGTCTAGCCACTACACCACAGCGACTTCCACTGCGAGGATTGGCCAAGGGGATCTGGCCGACGCTCAGCATTCAAAGGATAGTGAGACAGATATAGAATTAGCCTGTTACTGGTACCGTCAGAATTAGAATTGCTGAAGATGAGGATAAAACCCTGTGCAGTGAAGTCAATTGTCTTAACCTCAACTTCTAATAGTTATCTCCTGCGTCTGCAGATATTGTTCTGGTGGGTTTGGTTTTATGGCAACCTTGGCTGCTCTCAGAGATTCTTTAGCAAAGCGTCTGTGGAGAGCATTCAGAAGACGATGCCGAATAAAGCAGCCACAGTTTACCATGTCAGAGGTAAGTTCCAGTTTGGAGGTGTATTGTCTTCAGAAATGTGTTCTTGTCACCTTTTATCAGCTCTGGCAATATGTAGGAAAATTACAGGACCCATTGTACACTAGATAGACTTCATGTTTTATAGAACAATAGACATTCCATGAATGATGTGGTCAGCAATATGTGGGCTGACTTTACCTCCCAGGACATGACCTGCTACCCATTTTAAGCCTCATGGATGCAGATTCAAATCCCCCGTAGACCTTTAGGCTGACAGACAAGCATCTAGCCACTACTATAAAACGCCTCTCCTTTCCCAGGTATATGTATTTGAGAAGTTTTTTCTAAGTGAGGTTCTAAATGTGGGCATGTTTTAATATTATTTTACTAGGTTCGTGAGTTGTTTTATTTTTTTTTAGACTGTTAGCTGAGGCACTTAATTTTAGAATATTTGTAGACTGTGTTAACTGAAGCACTTAGATTATTTGTAGACTGTGTTAACTGAAGCACTTAGATTATTTGTAGACTGTGTTAACTGAAGCACTTAATTTTAGATTATCTGTAGACTGTGTTAACTGAGACACTTAATTCATCATCATCAGCAGGTACCTTGCCGACTGGCGTAGGCGATCATGCCTCTCCACAATCTGCGATCTTCTGCAGCATGTATCAGTTCGTGTGCCGACACACCTCCATGCCATGCAACAAAACTGTCAAGAATCTTCCCTTGTTGTCTTCCTCTATCCCTTCTTGACAGATCTCTCCAGTGGTCACAACATGTTTTGTTTTCCTTCTTCTAATAACATTGCGGAAAAATTATGTCTCTTTCTGATGTCTGTGATAAGTTGTCTTCGGGCTCCCGCCTCTTTCAAAACCTCTTGGTTGCTCTTTTTGGCTGTCCAAGGTATTCTAAGCATTCTTCTGTAAAACCACATCTCTGAGGCCTCAAGAAATTGTTTGGCCAGCCTACCGATTATCCAGAATTCACAGCCATATGTTAAAACTGGATGTATGTAGCAAGCAAGAATTCTTTTTCTAATTCTCAATGACAAGGATATATTGCACAAGATGCACTTAATTTTTTTAAATGTTTATAGACTGTTAATGAGGTACCTAATTTTAGAGTATTTGTAGACTGTGTTAATGGAGGCACTTAATTATTTTATGTTTATAGACTGTGTTAACTGAGGCACTTAATTATTTTATGTTTATAGACTGTGTTAACTTAGGCACTTAATTATTTTATGTTTATAGACTGTGTTAACTGAGGCACTTAATTATTTTATGTTTATAGACTGTGTTAACTGAGGTACTTAATTTTTTAAATATTTATAGACTGTGTTAACGGAGGCACTTAATTATTTTATGTTTATAGACTGTGTTAACTGAGGTACTTAATTATTTTATGTTTATAGACTGTGTTAACTGAGGCACTTAATTATTTTATGTTTATAGACTGTGTTAACTGAGGCACTTAATTATTTTATGTTTATAGACTGTGTTAACTGAGGTACTTAATTATTTTATGTTTATAGACTGTGTTAACTGAGGCACTTAATTATTTTATGTTTATAGACTGTGTTAACTGAGGCACTTAATTATTTTATGTTTATAGACTGTGTTAACTGAGGCACTTAATTATTTTATGTTTATAGACTGTGTTAACTGAGGCACTTAATTATTTTATGTTTATAGACTGTGTTAACTGAGGTACTTAATTATTTTATGTTTATAGACTGTGTTAACTGAGGCACTTAATTATTTTATGTTTATAGACTGTTAACTGAGGCACTTAATTATTTTATGTTTATAGACTGTGTTAACTGAGGCACTTAATTATTTTATGTTTATAGACTGTGTTAACTGAGGCACTTAATTATTTTATGTTTATAGACTGTGTTAACTGAGGTACTTAATTTTTTAAATATTTATAGACTGTGTTAACGGAGGCACTTAATTATTTTATGTTTATAGACTGTGTTAACTGAGGTACTTAATTTTAGAATATTTGTAGACTGTAGAGGAAGGCTGGCCATATGTTAAGAGTACAGGGCTGTCATGCAGGAAACCCAAGTTCGAATCACCAGTAAGGATTATTTTCTATTGGGGGCAAAAATAAAATCATACCCTGCACAGACTGTTGGCGACAGCACAGGCCATTCGTGCTAAATCCTCAGGCTTAGACCCCCCTGCCTACATGGCAGGACTTGGTAGACACAGTCGGTAAAAGCAGTTTTTTCTTTTCAGTGGGCTGTATTGGTGAAGGAAGGTGCTACAGAGTCGGTGCACTGCGCTAAGCAACTTCGGACTTTGACTTGAGTAAGAATTAGAGGGGAGCACTCATGGGTTACTACCCGTGTGCCATGATGTTGATCCGATGTTCAAACCTTCAAACCAGTGAAGGAAGAAGTATGGATGGGGCAGAAATACTGAATGCCTGCATTACAGAGACATTGAGACAAAGGAGTCAGATGCGTTGAACTGCCTGTTGGAAAAAGGTGTTAAACAAGGCACACAGCAGAAAGCAGTTGTCGGGCCAAAAAGATATGCTAATCAACTCTTGCTGGGTACTTTGAGCATGGAGGCACTGAGATGGCTACTGCATGGGAGGACGGATCACGAATGGGTCGGACTGACTATTGTTCTAGGATGTCAGTATGGAAAACGAGTAAAATTAGTTGTAAACAAATATGCATTGTGTTCATTGGTACTCGTAGAATCAACTGAGGTACACATGTTTAATCAAATCTTGTCATCCTCATTGTTTACCCGACACTGCATACACAGTTTTACTGTTAATCGCACCCAGTTTAGCTGTTGTTTGACACATTCATTATAAAATAACACCAGCGCCGAAGCCAGTGTGCAATTCCACCTGAAGATATAAACTTTGGAGACAACCGACCGACAGAATGAACACCAGTCAGCGGGAGAAATGAACTTTATAGAATATCTTCAAGCACCTGCATATGTTTGCTAGCGACAGAGATTGAAAGTCTGGGGTGTTCTTACCTGCAATAGATCGTCTTTGTTTGTGTGATTCTGCATGTTGACGAGTGAATGCAAGTCTGGGGTAGTCTTGTCTTCATGAAAATGTGTCTGATTGAATATCTGGGATGATCTATCGTCTTGGACATATGTCTGATTTTACTTGTTGACAGGAATGAATGCAAGTGTGTGGTAATCATATCTATATCTATATAGGTATATGTCTGATTTTACTTGTTGACAGGAATGAATGCAAGTGTGTGGTAATCATATCTATATTTATATAGGTATATGTCTGATTTTACTTGTTGACAGGAATGTATGCAAGTGTGTGGTAATCATATCTATATAGGTATATGTCTGATTTTACTTGTTGACAGGAATGTATGCAAGTGTGTGGTAATCATATCTATATCTATATAGGTATATGTCTGATTTTACTTGTTGACAGGAATGTATGCAAGTGTGTGGTAATTATATCTATATAGGTATATGTCTGATTTTACTTGTTGACAGGAATGTATGCAAGTGTGTGGTAATCATATCTATATAGATATATGTCTGATTTTACTTGTTGACAGGAATGTATGCAAGTGTGTGGTAATTATATCTATATAGATATATGTCTGATTTTACTTGTTGACAGGAATGTATGCAAGTGTGTGGTAATCAAATCTTTATAGATATATGTCTGATTTTACACGCTAACAAGAGTGAATGAAAGTATGGTAATATTGTCTTCATGGACACATGTCCAATTTTTTTATGTTGACAAGAATGAATGAAAGTCTGGGGACTGGATGACTGCACGGACATATGTCTGATTAGACGATTGTGTGAATGTATGTGTTAGTGATATCTTCATAGACATATGTGTAAATGAATGTCTGTGTTAGTGATATCTTCATAGACATATGTGTAAATGAATGTCTGTGTTAGTGATATCTTCATAGACATATGTGTAAATGAATGTCTGTGTTAGTGATATCTTCATAGACATATGTGTAACTGAATGTCTGTGTTAGTGATATCTTCATAGACATATGTGTAAATGAATGTCTGTGGTAATCTCATGTTTATAGACAGATGTCTGATTGTCCCCCATTGACAAGGAAAAACGAAAGTCTATGGTCGGCATGTGTTTATGGACATAGAACTGATTCTTACAAACTGACAAGAATGAACAAAAGTCTGGGGTAATCATGTCTTTATGAGCCTGTAACATCCACATTGAGAACAAAGGAGGTAACCTATGTAATGTATCTCTTTTGAAAGACTTTACATACACATGGGGAAAATACCGATCCGCAATGCTTTTGAACAGTGGTGCAAGAGGTACACTATGGAAACAATATAGAGGCTTCCTCACATAATATTGTCAAAACAGCAGTGAATTCACATATTCACTCCTGCCAACTTTACCTTGGAGAAGGCAGATAGTTTAATTTCAGTATATGAGAAAGTTGAGACATTTGGAAAGTTGACAAGAGGAGGCTCGGCCATGTTATTTAATATTAGTATTAAAATACATGTTATAATGATCTTTGGTTTCTTTCGTCTATGTTGATTCTGAAAAAGCACTACATGTTTCTACGCATATATTTACATTTTGTCTACTTATATTAGATACAATAAAATATATAACGATATGCATCTTTCGTTCAGCTTAAGCTCAATTATTCAAGTGTTGTAACTGTTTATATGCTAGATTGCTTGAAGTTCTTCCCGTCTACCAAAGTGTGTCACCTGCATGGTAGAAACGACAACTGTGGATCGGGGAGAGGGGGGAGGGCCACCACAAAACTGAGACTGTAAAATGTCTAAACTGATCGGGTAAAACTGGTATCTTTGGAATTGAAGCCCTGTGTTTGCTGCTGAAGATGGGGACAGAGCGCTTATGGGAGTATCCTGAGTGCTTTGGGGTAGATTCTTAATTAAACATTAAACTAATCGGGAAAACTAACCCAGAAAACAAATGCCTGAAGAAGGTGGATGTGTTGGCTGAAAGGCACAAGTATCCTAGTTGGGCTGTAAATTGGCCTATCACATTATCATCGTTTGGATGAATGATGAAGAAGAAAATAAGATTCCCAGGTGCTGGTGCCATTCCTTGTGATATCTTGGTTAGACAGAAGTGACCTATGACACATTTTCACACCAGAGATGCATTGGGCATTCGGCAAATCCTGGTCCATTTTTCTTTCTGGTTTTGTGCCATGGTACATCACTTTTTTTTTCAGCGCTATTGTATAAGACACTTTTTGGTGAGTGCCGGCAACTGTTTTTGTTTAGACACTTTGTTTCCCATTAGGATTCCGGTACCCTATTACAATAATAGATCTACTATCACCCTAAAAATCATGTCGTTAAACGAATTAGTGGTTTTCTTCGAAGTCAAAGTGCATTTGCCTGAGAGGCGAGACACCAAGTCTGTATATAAGTAAGTAAGATTTTAACCCACGGGGGAATGAAAAGCCCATTTTTGGGGTGTATCCCGTCAGAAGTAGGGTGGCCATACCATAAAGCGTTTTTGTTTTTTTTTTCAACGATAGGCTCAGACTGTCCCATCAATGCTAAGCGAAATTTCATTGTTCCCGATTAGCAAGCATCGCTTCAGAGGTCTCGGGTAACTATCATCCTTTAGATATTTTCCCAAGGTCATACCGTTGTGTTGGGAAATGAGCAGGCAGATAGACTGGGATGGTTTTGCACCACTTGATGGTGAATTGATGTATGACAGGCTAGATGTTGTGAGAGCCTTTTGGAACGAGTGAACAGGGAGATGGCACAAATAGATAATTATGGTCTGAGCAGCGTGGCGCTACGAGGAGTTAGCAGGTGATCTGGTCTACGCTCAACACTCGAGGGAAAGGTGAGAGGAATATACAGTCAGACATTACTGGTACCATGGCAATTGGAACACTTTGCTTGCTGCTGAAGATGGGGACTGAGCACTTATGGCAGTGTCCCGAATGCTATGATGTTGATTCTTGATTCAGTGGTTGTTCTAGTCCACGTTGAGTATTGACGAGATGATCTAGAGTGAGACCTACCCGGTGAAAACAAGACTTATGGTCACCTTATTCAGAGGTGGACGAACAGTCTGAATGGGGGGGGGGGGGGGGGGTTATTAATTCAAATGTCACTGACTGACTGACTTTCTAAGCCACCAGGACATCACACAAGCGATAAACACCCGATGACACAATGTGCCACCATGTGGGTGAGTATCACCTTGGAGAGGTCCCAGAAACCGCGTTCAGCCTTTAGGCCATATGTATGTCCAGGCTATATTGCGGCCGCTGGCAAAGCCAGAGTAGGGCTTCAAATAACGAACAATTTCAGCCTAAAAAGGACGGGAAGATGTGTCACTGACCGCCTTTACTGAGAGCCTAAATCAGTTATTTAAAACAAGATCTGTGGATTTGAACTGAATATATTTGGCCTGGCGGTTGGGAAAATGAGGACATTCTAGAGACACCCTGAAGTAAACGTGAATAAGAGGTGCTGGTCTGGATTCTATCCATAATATCGAACGGATTACAAGGGATAAAACTGAATGGAGAAATATACTGCGAGGTTTATGCAACGTATAAACACGATAATTATGGGTACAAACAAAATGGCTACGTTGGATGTAAAGGGCGGTAAGAGAGAGAGAGCGCGATTCTGAATTCTAGTAAATACTCGGTTAATGTTCTTGTTAAAATAATTAAATATATTACACAATGAATTGCAAGGCATATCTCATCGGGAAGATGACACTGAAATTGTTGGAGGAAAATTTACTAGGGACTATAAAAACACTGACTCTTTCAAAAGAAGCAGCTCACAAAATAGGACTAGTTATCAATCAAAATAAGACAGAGAAAGGATATTAACTTTGGCAACATACTAATTGATTATCTGAAAAACAAACGAACGGCAACATACGTATTTGGGTGAAAACTTCAACTGCTCCAACATACTGAGAGAACAAATACAATCTTGATATAAAAGTGTACTATATCCTTCAACATCTGCTAAAGTCAAAGTCTCTATCTTGCAACGCCAAGATCAAAATATATAAAACGTTGATAAGACCAGTCGTTTTATATGGCTCTGAAACTTTGAGCACAACTAAAAAAGATGAAGTCTTATTACAAACTTTCGAAAACAGAATATCACCACTTACCTCTGGACCTATCAAAGATGCAAACAGCGGGGAATGGAGAGTGAGAAGCAACAACAAAATTCATAATCTGTTTCATTGGGCATCGTGAGATCTAATAAACTGAAATGTCTTGGGCATATTGAAAGAATGTCAAATGACAGAGGGGTACAAACTATACACCAGGGAGATGAATGGTCGTAGACCATGAGGCAGACCAAGAAGACGATTGAGAGATAACATCCAGACAGACCTGCAAGCACTTGGTGTCACTAACTGGAAAGAGAAGGCCAACCAGAGAGGTGTATAGAGACGGGTGATATCTGCAGCAGTGAACCTCAAGGGCTCGAAATGCTGAAGAAGGCCAACCAGAGAGGTGTATAGAGACGGGTGATATCTGCAGCAGTGAACCTCAAGGGCTCGAAATGCTGAAGAAGGCCAACCAGAGAGGTGTATAGAGACGTGTGATATCTGCAGCAGTGAACCTCAAGGGCTCGGAATACTGAAGAAGGCCAACCAGAGAGGTGTATAGAGACGGGTGATATCTGCAGCAGTGAACCTCAAGGGCTCGAAATGCTGAAGAAGGCCAACCAGAGAGGTGTATAGAGACGGGTGATATCTGCAGCAGAAGAAGAAGATATCAAGTCGGGAAGTCACCGTGGTTGAGCGGCTAGACGCGTGCCTGCAGATCGCCATGTTGTGGGTTTAAATCCTGACGGAGCCGGACTACTTTTTCTTCTAAAATGACATTGTCTACCAGGTCGACCCAGCCTCAAAT